AAAAAAATCGAGATTTTGAAGAATTTTGGTGCGGCCTTCTCACACGAGTCGTGTGGGCTATGACACGAGTCGTTTGGCCTTACACGACTCGTGTGACGTCTCGTGTGGGTGGCCGTGTGAGCCTGGGACATTGCCGAAAATTGAAGAGAAGTCACACGACTCGTGTGGCTTGTGACACGAGTCGTGTGACGCGCTGTTAAACCAGCGAAAAATAGGAAACCTACGGGAATTGATCCCTTTTTCGACCCATATTTGCCATACAGTATATAAGGAACTTGGAGAACACGGTTTTGGGACTGGGGGACACCATTGAAGGCCTAGAGAAAGCAAAAAGCACACAAGGGATTCGAGGAAGTCAAGATTGAAGATCCGGGAACTAACGGCGACAATAGTTCTTCTTTCTTTTCTCCTTTTCTTCTTCATTGAACTCATGGATTTATTTATTTTGAGTATTGAGAATATGTTTAGTAGCTAAATTTCTTTGAGATTCTAGGATTTGCGAGTACTCGGATTCTTTTATGAAGTGATTTTGTTTATTCATTCTGGTCTATCTTTCGTTTATGAATTTCTTGTGATTATATGAATTGTGTGAATATAGGGCCCGTATTTATGCATATTTGTGATTGACTTGAGACCGAGAGGAGATAGTTAGTTGCTAGAACTGAGAAATTCATAACGTAAGAGACTGAACAAACCGAGAGGTTGATAGAATCTTGCGAGGGAACTAGAATCTTAGGAGCGTATGGGAGTTAGTTGTTCATCTTGAGACCGAGAGGAGATAGATAACAATTAATATCTGCGATTTAACTTGTTCCAGAGAAAGGTGTAAATTACTTTAGCGATTATCCCTACGATTGGTAGAATTAAATAAGGTTTGAATGAATAAGTAAACTTTGCTAGAAGAATCCCGAGGAAAGCATAGCCTAGAATCTATTTTCTCATACTTGATTTATTTAGAATAAGCCTTCTTTAGTGTTAAGAATTTATTTTGCATTCATTCTTTAGTTTAGAACAAAATCACCATTCAAATTCGAGTTAGTCTAAATAATATTTAATCGTCTATATTTTGGTACTTAATTTTTTTAACAACAATCTCTGTGGAATACGACCTTGCTCGCCGCTTTCTACAGCTACACTGTACACTTGTGGGTAGTGAAAATATTTTGCGAACAAGTTTTTGACGCCGTTGCCGGGGATTGTTTTGTTAAAATTAATTAATATTAGAAGAAGACAGGTAGATATTACTTTAGTCATTTTTATTTTTATTTAATACTTTGGTTCTTAATTGCATCGCTTTTTGGTTTGTGTGTTTTGACAGGCACGTGCATGATTACGAGGTCTAGTGGGAATTCACCCGCGAAATTTGACCCCGAGATTGAAGCTAGTTGTCAAAGGAACAACGCAAATCGGACACTACAACAACGACTGCGAAGTGCAATGGAGGAACAAGGTGGAGAGAGGTATAGACAGCTCGAGGCACAACTGGCGGAGCTACAACGCCAACTAGCTGCACAGCAGGCTCAACAAGAGACAGGAACACCGGTTCAGAACATCTTCCAACCTCATGCGGACCAAGTATACGGAGGAGGTCATGGGCCGAGAATTGCGGCTAATACTTTTGAGTTGAGCCCGTCCTTGATTCGAATGGTGCAACAAGAGCAGTTTAGGGGAGCTGCAATCGAGGACCTAAATGCGCATCTGGCGCAATTTCTGGAGATATGTGGTATGGTGAAGTACAATGGAGTCCCGGAGGACGCTATCCGGCTTAGGCTTTTCTCTTTCTCTCTTAGAGATAAAGCCAAGGTGTGGTACAATTCTCTTGAGGCCGGGACAGTGACATCATGGGATGAGATGCGTCAGAAATTTCTCTTAAAGTTCTTCCCATTGAGCAAGATGTTGAGACTTCAGACGGAGATCACTCAATTCAATCAACAAGATGGTGAGCCTTTATACGAGGCCTGAGAGTGTTACACGCAACTCCTTCAGACGTGCCCACATCATGGATTTTCGGAGGAGCACCAAATTTGCTATTTCTACAATGGATTGAGTGGCCCGATGAAGGCTATGGTGGACGCCTCAGCTGGAGGTGCCCTTTTCGGAAGGCGACCAAACTACGCAAAGCGAATTCTTGAGGAGATGGCGTCGAATAGCTATCAGTGGCCGGTTGAGAGGACTATGCTTAAGAGAGTGGCGGCTATGAATGAGGCGGACTTAGCCGCTTCGATGGCGGCTCAAATAGCAGCATTGGTGATAAACAACATACAAGGGGGAAAGACTGAGAACTTAGGAGTTGGAGAACCGATCGAGGACGTGAATTATGTGAATAACCGGAATTTTGGGAATTTTCGAGGACCTCAAGTGGGGAACACTTATTACCAAGGCAACCAGAATCACCCCAATTTATCGTATGCAAATCCGAATAATGCTATACAACCACCTCCTGGATTTTCGGTGACCAACGGGGTCATCAACAAACCGAAGAAACCAGCACTCGAAGATGTGCTCTTCTCATTAACAGCTACCACCCAAACATTTATGACTCAAACGCAACAATTCATGGGTGAATCTCAGGCTAAGAACTCTACCTTAGAGAAGCAAATGAAGTCAATAGAACAACAAATTGGACAGTTGGCCACAACAGTAGAAAGTTTACAGCAGAGAGGACAATTTCCGAGCAACACAGAGGTGAATCTGAAGGAACAATGCAAAGCCATCCATATAAGGAGTGGCTTGGAGTATGAGGGACCAAGGATGCCAACTAATGAGCCGGAAAAAGTCGTGCTTGAGGAAAGCAAGGAAGAGGAAGAAGTTGAGGAAGTAGTAGTGGAGCCCCCAAAATCGGCAATTACAGGGGCTGAGAAGCCAAAATCTACTTCTAACACTTCTACTCCTAATATTCCTTTACCTTTTCCTCAACGTTTTGCAAAGAAAAAAATTGACGAACAATATGCCAAATTTCGTGAAATATTTACTAAAGTTCAAATAAATATTCCTCTTGTTGATGCATTGCAGAAGATGCCCAAATATGCCAAGTTCTTGAAGGACATGGTATCTAGGAAGAAGAAGCTCATAGCGTATGAGAAGGTGAATTCGACAGAGGAGTGTAGTGCTATGATCCAAAAGAAGATGTCTTTCAAACACAAGGATCTCGGGAGCTTCATAATAGCATGCATTATAGGAGGAAAGCGGTTCAGGAAGGTGTTGTGTGACTTGGGAGCAAGCATCAATCTTATGCCACTATCAATTTTCAAGAGGTTGGAGATTGGGACGATTAGGCTACTACGATTGCATTGCAAATGGCGGATAGATCCTTGTCTTATCCGAAGGGGATTGTGGAAGACGTATTGGTGAAAGTCGAGGGGTTTATCTTCCCGGCTGATTTCATGGTCCTTGACATGGAGGAGAATAAAGAGGTCCCACTAATTTTGGGTCGTCCGTTTCTTGCTACCGGGGGAGCGTTGATTGATGTGAAGAATGGCGCCGAGCTTACTCTCCGGGTTGACGAAGAGAGCATCACATTTTCCATATATCAAGCAATGAAGAATAATGATGAGGATGGTGAGATCGAAGAATGTAAAGTGATTGAAGTTGTTGAGGCTTCCTTCGACAATGACATGATTACTTCTTCATCTAAAGACCCTTTATATCTTTGTGTTCGAAAATCATTATTTGCTTCTTCTTCGTTTGATCATTTTAAAGAAAAATTATTAAAATGTATTAATGTGTTGGATTGTTGTAGGGAAGTCCCGAAGAAACAAGCTGCGATTTTTGAGTTGAGACGAGATGATCCGGGACCAAGTGCAAGTCAAGGAGAGAAGAAAGATGGAGTTCCGAAGTTAGAGTTGAAACCTTTGCCAGAGCACTTAAAGTATGCATATCTTGGAGAGAATGACACGTTTTTGGTAATCGTTTCTTCTTACCTTTCTAATTCAGAACTTGAGAAATTATTGAGAGTCTTAAGAGGGCATAAATCGGCGATTGGTTGGTCGATTAGTGATTTAAAAGGTATTAGTCCCTCTATTTGTATGCATAGAATTTTGCTTGAGGATAATTATATGCCATGTGTTCAAAATCAACGTAGGCTAAATCCAATTATGCAAGAAGTAGTAAGAAAACAGGTCCTTAAATTGTTAGATGCGGGGATGATTTTTGCTATTTCTGATAGTGAATGGGTCAGTCCTACACAAGTTGTGGCTAAGAAAGGGGGTATGACTATTGTGAAAGATGAGCATGATGGTGTTGTTGCTACTAGGCTTTTGATAGGTTGGCGTGTTTGTATTGATTATCGTAAATTAAACGCCGCTACTCGTAAGGATCACTTTCCTTTGCCTTTTGTGGATCAAATGCTTGATAGGTTAGCGGGTTATGATTTCTATTGTTTTCTTGATGGTTATTCCGAATACAATCAAATTTTGATAGCTCCGGAGGACCAAGAGAAGACGGCCTTTACATGTCCTTATGGTGTTTTTGCTTATCGTAGGATGCCTTTTGGTTTATGTAATGCTCCTGCTACCTTTTAAAGATGTATGATGGCAATTTTTCATGATTTAATTGAGAATATTATGGAGGTGTTTATGGATGATTTTTCGGTGTTTGGTACTTCATTTGATAATTGCTTGGCCAATTTATCTCGAGTGTTGCAGCGATGTGAAGAAACTAACCTTGTTTTAAATTGGGAGAAATCTCACTTTATGGTGAAGGAAGGTATAGTTCTTGGGCATCGTGTGTCTTCCGCGGGACTTGAGGTAGATCGGGCAAAAATCGTAGCCATTGAAAAACTTCCACCTCCTACGAACGTGAAGTTGGTAAGGAGTTTCTTGGGCCACGTGGGATTCTATAGGAGGTTCATTCGTGATTTTGCTAAAATTGCTAAACCTCTTAGTGTTTTGTTAGAAAAAGATACTACATTTAATTTTAGTGAGAAGTGTTTGCAGGCTTTTGAGAGATTGAAGAAGGCCCTTATTAGTGCTCCTATTTTGATTGTGCCGGATTGGGAGCAACCATTCGAGTTGATGTGTGATGCGAGTGACGTAGCCGTAGGGGTCGCTTTGGGCCAAAAGCGAGATAAACTCTTCCGAGTTATTTATTATGCGAGCAAGACGTTGGATCCAGCTCAAGTAAATTATACGACTACAGAGAAGGAGATGCTAGCGGTGGTGTATGCATTTGACAAGTTTCGACCCTACCTTGTTGGGACAAAGACAATCGTGTTTACCGATCATGCGGCGATTCGACACCTCATGACAAAGAAGGATGCCAAGCCAAGATTGATTCGATGGGTGCTCTTACTCCAAGAGTTTGATCTAGAAATCCGGGACCGGAAAGGATGCGAGAATATTGTGGCGGACCATTTATCTCGATTGGAGTGCCCGGTTGAAGGGGATGATCGTTTGGTCCCCATTAATGAAGATTTTCCGGACGAGCACATGATGCATATTCGAGCCCACCTACCTTGGTACGCCGACTATGTGAATTAGTTGGTGTCGGGCGTACCACCTCCAGATTTGTCCTACTATGCGAGGAAGAAATTTTTTCATGATGTGAAGTTCTACTATTGGGACGAGCCATACTTATTCCGGAGGTGCGCGGACATGGTTATTAGAAGGTGTGTCCCCGAAGAGGAATGGGGAGAAATCATGAGGCAATGTCATTCATCACCGGGTGGAGGTCACTTCGCAGAAAACCGAACCGCCATCAAGGTGTTGCAGAGCGGCTTCTATGGGCCGTCCATTTATAAAGATTGTCACCTGTTCGTGTTATCTTGTGATAGGTGCCAACGGACGGGAGAAATTTCTAGGCGAGATGAGATGCCCCTAACCAACATCATTGAGGTGGAACTCTTTGACGTATGGGGGATCGATTTTATGGGACCCTTTCCGGTGTCTTATGGGTCCAATTATATTTTTTGGCAGTGGATTATGTGTCGAGATGGGTTGAGGCGGTGCCAACCAAGACGAATGATGCTAAGGAGGTGCTGAAATTTTCGAGAGCGAATATCCTTACACGCTTTGGGACTCGAGAGAATTGATTAGCGATGGTGGGTCGCACTTTTGTAATAAGTGGCTTGGAAGTCTCCTTGCCAAGCATGGAGTGAAGCATAAAGTGACGACGGCATACCATCCACAAGCTAATGGGCAAGCCGAGTTGGCTAATCGGGAGATCAAGCAAGTACTCGAGAAAGTCATTGGGAGTCGTAAGGATTAGGTGAATCACCTCAACAAAGCATTGTGGGCTTATCGGACGGCGTACAAGACTCCTCTAGGTATGTCTCCATATCAATTGGTATTTGGTAAATCATGTCATTTACCTGTTGAATTGGAGCACAGGGCGTATTGGGCTATGAGAAAGATCAATCTTTCTTCGAAAAGGCCGGGCTTGAAAGGAAGTTGCATCTCAATGAATTGGACGAGTTTCGCATGGAGGTGTATGAGAGTTCTCGTATCTATAAGGAGAAGACAAAGAGATACCATGACAAATTGATTAGGAAGCGAGAATTTGCTGTAGGCGAACAAGTTTTACTCTTCAATTCGCGACTCAGGCTCTTTCCTGGTAAGTTCAAGTTGAGGTGGTATGGACCGTTCGTAATCACGAAGATGATGGCAAATGGAGCCGTGGAATTGGCGGTAAGTGATGGCACTACATTCGTGGTGAATGCTCAGCGGATCAAACCATATTTCAGCCCGAAGCAAGCCAAGACCATCTTCATCGTCTATTTGAACGACTAAAGGTCCGCCAGGCATTCGTCTAGCTAAAGACGTTAAATTAAGCGCTTATTGGGAGGCAACCCAATTTTTAGTGTATAATTTATTTTTTTTTAGAATAGGCTTAGTTTCGTTTTTAATTTGTTTTTCTTTCTAAAAAAAAAGAAAAAAAAAAAAGAAAAAAAAATCCCAGGTCCACACGAGTCGTGTGGCCTTGTGACACGGCTCGTGTGACATTAGGGTAAAAATAAGCTCAGTCTCGGGTTTTTCACACTACTCATGTGATGAAGTGACACGAGCCGTGTTGCGTTACACAGATCGTGTGTCATATGGACACGGGTCGTGTGACCCTGGGCGTTTTTTTGTTGATTTTTAATTGTGTCACACGACTCGTGTGTCTTTTGGACACGGCTCGTGTGACGCCTGGGCGAATTTAAAAGATAAAAAAACCCTCGTTTGGTCGTGTCTCTTTTATCTCTCGTGTCTCTGTTGTTTCTCTCTGCGTCTCTCTCGTCTCTCTCTCGAATTTATCTATCCGATTTTCCTTGCTCGATTTTTGCTCGAAATTCGTCACTAATTCATGCATCAAGCACCATCTAATCTCGTTTTTGAAGCAATTTAGCTCTTGATATCGAAGAAAAATTACGGTTCTAACTTAGGGTTTACCTATTTCGTATTTTGCACGAGTTCATCGAAGAAAGGTACGAAATTTCTTCCTTTTCCTGGTAGTTTCGCGATTGGGACGTTGATTTGAGGTATGTATGGTGTATTATGAGTAAAACCTTGATGTAAGGGTTGAGAACTAGTTGAGGATTTCTGTCGAACACCTCATGTGCGCGGTTAATTTGATGAATTTACCCTCTTTTTCATATGATTTCTCATGATAATTGTTTGGTATGGGGAAGAGAGTAATGTTAATCACGTGGTGAA